GATATTGTGACATCAGTGCATAGGGGTGAGGAGGGCTGGATAATCCAGCCAAAAGCTATTTGAAAAATTTGTTTGGGAGTTGCAATTAGAATATCCACCCAGTGAATACAATTAATATGATCAAACTTGTCACTACTTTTGCACATTAGGAGTAAATATTTTAGAGCACAGTCTAGCTGAATTAGTGCAGTGTGTGAGACTATCTAAGAGAAACTGTATTTCTTCTACCTTCTAAGAGACTGCTCCCAGGAGGAAATGAGGCCTGACAGTCACTTGTAATTATCAATATCTTCTTTATTTTCCCCAAGGCGTATTTGTCAGTGTCTTCATTGAAATCTGTGCAATGTGAAATTTACCACCACTAAGGTGAACATCAGAGAGTCAATGATTATGGGAAAATATGGCATTCTCACCAGCATGCTGGGAGGATGGAGGAAAGGAGAGGGAAGAACAAGGTGCTAGAGATGTTTTTAGGAAGAAAAGAAATAAACCAGAAGGCCAAGCTTGCCTTCATAACTTCTCATTCTCAAGAGCCATTTGCCTGCCCACTGAGCAGGGAGATGCCAGTTGGAAGAAAAGAGAAAAGCTATGTGATTTTCTGTTTTCACATGAGCCCTACAGACAGGGTCCAGGTTCTACAAGGCAAATGTATAACACTCCCAAATTCATCAAAGGAATCCCAGGTCCAGGAGACTAGAGGCATCTGGAAAGGAGCTCAGATCCCTTCTGAACCAAGTCCCTATTGATATATATTCTTATTCTCATTCTCATATTTTCTCTCTCTCTCTCTCTCTCTCTCTCTCTCTCTCTCCTCTCTCTCTCTCTCTCTCTCTTCTCTCTCTCTCTCCTCCTTTCTTCCCTCCTCCTTCTTTGTTTCTTCCCTCCCTTATTCCTTCTCTCCCTCTCCTTTTACCTCTTTCCCCTCCATATCTCTCCTTCTTCCTCCCTCCCTCCTTCCCTCTCTCCTACTTCCCTCTACAAGAGTAGATTAATAATGAATTACAAAAAGGACCAGAGCCCATTTCCCTTCATATGCCACCCTTGCCCTTTCCTCTTCTGCTAAAGACTCCTTTCTCCTGCCCCCCAAAAAGGGGGACCAACCCTGAGGTAGTAGAAGCACAGGCTCCCTCTCCTGGGGCTTTGAGGTTCCCTCTCTAGCATAACTAACTCCAGTGATCCTCAGCAGTGATTCAGCAGTGATCCTCCTTTCCACTCTCTCTTTTACCTCTCCCTTTCTCTCTCCTTCTTTCAACCCCACTCAGAGTTGACTCACACTGATGTTTCTACAATGGAACCTAAAAATACCCACCTTACAGATGGGGATTCAACTCAGTGAGGCCAAAGGTATTTGCATCAAGAATAGGATCTCTATATTCGGTTAAAAAAAAAAGACTAGTGGCCTTCCTGGAGAAGGAAAAATTTAATTCTTTGAAAACTGAAATGGGAGCTGGAATTCTCCATATCCCTTTGAAAATAGCCCATGCTAGATATCTTCCTGCTGTGCTATTTCCTTCTTCCCTTTAAATTGATGAACAAGGTAGTTTCATGTGGCCTCATAATAATCCATCAGCCTCACAATGGTTTTTATTTACAGCACCTATTTTCTCCCTGACTGGGAGCAGAGGAGGAACTTGGTTAAACAATCCAAATCATCCTTTCCAGCTTTGTTTCCCTAAAAACTACTACAGGCATGGAATAGTTTTTCCCATTCTCAGATCCACTTAGTCTCAGTAGACTCCCACAAGTATGCACTTGTGGTATCTGAAAATCAGGACCAAAAGAACCACATTCCTACTTGAAAGCATCACAAGCAGTACTCCTAGACCCCGAAGATGGATAAGCCTGGGGCCCCAATATATACTTGTGATTTTACTATCTTTTTTGCTGACCCAGTATGTTGAAGAACAACATAACGAATAAAGATCTTCAAGGCTGTCCACTGATAAAGAGAAGTCAAATACTCCCCTTGGTCTACATGTGGATCCAAGTACTATTTCCCAGGGTAGTCTCCCAGGGTGATGTAGGCTAGCTGCTTGACTGCCTTGTTTCTAACCAGCTACACAGCTGGATAGACAGGTCTGCAGAGAGAGAATGCAGCATGGCATTTAATCAGTCTTCTCTGAAAATATTTCCTACAAATGGCAGTCCTCCAGGTTCTGTCAACTCACCAGTAATACATGTTTTTAAAAATGGGTAGGTGTGTGGGAATGAAAAACAGTATAGTAGCTTTGTTAGTCCAATGGAGATATTAAGGGAAACAGACCCCTATAAAGGATACTCCCTGCACAACCCAAGACACCACATTCATATTGTGATATTAGACTTTCAGGCAAGAGTGGTACACCTCCCTTACACGCGCGCGCGCACACACACACACACACACACACACACACACACACACACATATTCATTGTCTTCTAATAAAAAAAAACAGGGGGAAAGGGGATTTGCAATCCTTTCTGCTTAACCATCCCTGGATTTGACTGTCAATGTAACTCTTCATTAGCAGACAGGCACTAAGTAGCCAGCAGCCCCACTCCAACACTGGAGAAACAGATTTAGCCCCCACGGAACTTCAAGAGCAAGCCACAACCACAAGAAGGAGACTGACAAGGGCTGTTTGGAAAAAGAAACACCAAACTATTGCACTGGAAACGCCGACTGAGATGACCTTCTGCCTCATAACCCTCCTTCTAAATCTGCACTTGTTTCACAAATCCGAACCCAGGTCATTTATGTATCATTAAGAACATTACCCAGCTCAAAAGGAAATCAGCCCTCCAGTAAACACCACTCCGTGGAACCTCTCACTTCCATGTCACCAATACAATCCCATCCACTCCCAATTATGAATGATGGCTAAAAAAGAAATAAAGAAATTCCTAAAGGAAAGGCAAAGGAAATAGTCAATATTTTAAGGAGGGGGAAAAAACATCTCTCCTCACACCGGCATTCCCAACCCCCTAAAATGTGTACCAGCAAATAAGCCGCTAGCACCAGAAGCTGTTTATATCCCAAATCATTCGCAAAAATCTGTTTTTAAACCTGAACAAGAAACCAGAAAGAAGGGGAAAGAGTTATGTCAGGTTGGGGTAGGGGCTGTACTTTGGTCTGTGGCATTCCAAGTGGTCTTAGGAAGGAAGAAACGGGGGACTAGTAGAATTTGAGAGCCCCCGATTCTCCAAGACTTTAAGAATTAGGAATGCTGGGAGGACCAGCCCTCTGGACTAGAAGCGTCTTAGCATAGCCTGGACGCTGCAGATGTCGCGGAGGGAGGGAAGTGTAGATGGGCTGGAGGTGGGGTGAGCGGGGGAGGGGGAGCCGGAGCTAAGGGGCTCAGAAGCGACATCAATGGCGCCACCTCCTGATGCTACAGGGTCCGGCAAAACGAAGCTATCCGAGAAAAGGAAAAGAGGCCAGCGGGTCAGGGGCCCCGACACCCTCCTCGCTAGCCTCAGTACCATGAACTGAGAGTTGAGGGGGGAAGACTAGCAAAGGTGAAGGGTTTTCCTTGGTCCTTTTTTTTTTCTTCCTTTCTTTCTTTCCCCCAGGGAGGAAGGGGAGATGGAGGCATCTTTCCTTTTGTGTTTCAAACTTTTATTCTCTGCCTCGTCTCCTGCCTAACCTAACCTAGGTTAGCTCTTAACTGGGGTTTATCTAGGGCAGGAGAGCTCTCTTGAAACTGATACTGGCCCCCAGAGAGGAGTGGGGTTGGGGAGCCAGCCTCAGAAAGGCAGGCTGGGCACTAGGTCCATCACCCCTGCGCCCTCCGGAACGAGGAAAAGCCAAGTCTATCGTTGTCAGTCCGTCCAGCCATGCCTACTCCAGATCCACTCCGCACACTCGTGGAAACACACACATCTCACACATCACACACGCTCACGCACACGCGCGCGCGCACACGCACACACACATACATATATATGTATATACACACACACAAACACACCTTGGTTGCCGCCGCCCCACCTGCTCCCCTCACATTGCCTAAAAACAAGCGCGGAGACTCCACCCCGCACCCACTTCAATCCCTCCACCCTGGGGGTCGTTGGTAAACAAATGCACACGCCTTCCTCTCTCCAACTCAGCTAACCTGTTAGGGGTGCGGAGATGGAGAAGAGACAGACTGCTTAAAGAGCTGGACAATCAAGCTTCTCCCAAAGTGGGGCGAGCAAAGTCTCAGTTCTCCCTCTCCCGGCGTCCCGGCGTAACTGAGGGAGCCGGCCCCTGGCGCCAGCAGAGCAAGCGTAAGGACAGACAGAAAGGTGGAAAGATGGACAGGTGGAGAGATAGGCATGCACACAAGCGGACAGACTAACACATAACAGAGAGGCAGACGGACAGACAACATGTACACAGGCGAATAGGCAGGCAAGGTACTCACGCTGCTGTTGTATCCGGACCAGTGCACCATGGCTTGATTGTGCGACGAGTCCCCGGTCAGGGCGAACGAGGTGCTGGTCAGTTTGAGCTCTTCTGCCGCCGCCCCCTGAGCTCTCGGCCCCCTCCCTTCTTCCTGGGAGCCTTTGGCCGGTGCCCGGCTGCCTCGCGATCCGTCCGCCGGGGAATTTCCCCGGATGCCCCACTGGGCCAGAGAGCCTGGGGGCTGCGCCCTGCGACTCCTCCTAGCACCAAGCTTTCCTTGCGCAGCTGGAGAAGACCCCCTTAGCTCTTCAAAACCGCGGCCCCAGGGCGCTCTCTCCTCCTGCCTCCCAGCCGCCGCGTCCTCTTCCTCCTCTTCCTCCTCCTCCTGGCTGCTGCCGCCACCACCGGGATAAGGCATCTCCTCCCGGGGCCAGCGCCCCAGACCCCCGCCTCTCCCCGCCGCCGGCTCCGTCCACTGGCCCGAGACTCCCCGCGGCGAGAGCAGCGGCAGCCGGGGCGGCGAGGCGGGGACACTGCCGCCGCTGCCACCGCCGCCCCAAGTGATCTCAGCCCCAGCTAGGACCCAAGTAGAGAGGAGCAGGAGCCCAGTCCGGGCGATGGGCGCCCCCGGCCAGCCTGCGGGGCGCTCCGTGGCTGCCGCCTCCATCCCTCTGCGGCTCCCGCTGCTGGGCTGGCTGGTCCGTTGGCGCCGAGGTGCGGGGTCCGGCGTGGGGGGTAGGGGGGGAGAGAAATGTGCGCGCGCGTGTGGGGAGTGGGAAAGGGAGGGGGAGGGGGCAGGCGGGGGGAAGGAGGGTGTCTCCCGCCGCCTGGAGATCCTCAGCGCTCCTCTCTACTCTTCCTCCCTTCTCTCTCTCTCTCTCTCTCTCTCTCTCTCTCTCTCTCTCTCTCTCTCTCTCTCTCTCTCTCTCTCTCTCTCTCCCTCTCTCTCTCTCTCTCCCTCTCTCTCTCTCTCCCCCTCTCTCTCTCTCTCTCCTCCTCTCTCTCTCTCTCTCCCTCTCTCTCCTTCCCTCCCTTCTCTCTCTGTCTCTCTCTCTTTCTCTCTCTCTCTCTCTCTCTCTCCTCACTTCTCCCTCTCCTCTCTCTTCCAAAAAGAAGAGAAATAAATAAATGCTACTTCTTGTTTAAAGAAAAAAAATTCTCCCTGGCCACCTGGAGGGCCAGAACGAATAATAAGGGCCCACACCAGCGGAGTCTGGAGTAGAGCGAGCGCTGGAAACACCTACAGCAGCTCTCCCCCTCCCCTAAACCAGGCTATATAACTCCTCTCCCTCCCCTACACAGTTTGAGGTTGCTTCCTGTGCTATTCCGTGGGATTTCCCCCTCGGCGCTAGAGGGGGAGGGGTGCGAGGGAGGAGGGATGGTGCAGGCGGTGGGAAGTGAGTGGGTTGGGGGAGTGCTGCGATAGGGGAGGAGGAAAGTGTTTTTGAGAGAAACTATTGCCGTTTGAGGAGCTGAACAAGTGATTGAAGCAGCCTAGCGGGGGTGGAGCTGCTCACGAGCCGAGCGCTGAAATCGACTCAGGAAATTCCACTCACCCAGGGGCGCCTTGCGGCCAGTCCCCCGCCCCCCCATCCCCAGGCATCCCCTGGGATTGTACGCTTAAAAGGGTGGGATGGGAGTGAAGCTGAGGGTCCAGCTGTGTGTACGTGTGTGTGTGTGTGTGTGTGCGCGCGCAGGTGTGTGTAAGAGCGCGAGAGCGCGGATGAGGACGAAATTTAGGTGTATGGACGCGCGTGTATACGAGTGTGAGTATATGGTGTGTGTATCTGAGAACGTGTATAAGGATTGTACATGAGTGTGCACGTGGGTGAACAGGAGCGGGGAGGAGGAACAGGTGAAAGAGAGAGGAGAGGAAGAATTGTGGCTGTATGCAAGAAGCCACAACCCATACAAGGTTGGTTCTTGCTAAGCCTAAACAAATCAGTTGGGGGTGGGGGGAATCTCCGAGGTCCTCCTCCCAAGAGCCCGCACACACACAACTAGAAGCCCTTTCTGTATCTCCACACCCTTCCCCCCAGATCACACTGGCCTCAGGAGCCCCAACTAGACAGATTGTATAAGCTGACACAGACCTCACTCAGAGGATTTTCGCACGGTTCTTTTTTTTTTTTTTTTTGTTAAACCACACTGGGAAACGTAGAGGGAAGAAAGTGTGGAAGGGAGTGGAGAGATCTCAGAGACACACAGAGGTAGAGTGACACAGAGAGACAGGTGCGGAGGAGGAAGAGGAAGAGAAATATTCTCCCTCTCACTTTTCCTAGGTCCCTCTTCTCACAAACTGTAGGCCAGGCAAGGAATTCTGGACTGTTTCCTTGGATCTCTGAGAACTCTCCATTCTGTCTCCACAGCCCCCTCCCCTTTTCCTTGACCATCCATTCTTAGCCAGCAAATATAAAGCGCTGGTCTGTAATCCTGGTTTTTCTCTGCCTTTTCGAAGGCGAGTTTCTTTCATTTAAAGTTGTTCTTTTAAAATGCATGTAAAGAGTTTGATGGTAATAGCGGTAGTGTAGTCCTTCACTGGACTTCTTCGCACTGGAAGAGTATGCAGACTGGAGTTAGGGTTAGTGGAGACGGAGGAGAGAAGGTAAGAGAGATTCTGGATGAGAGGATACTTCACCTAAAAAGCAGCAATGACCTGCCAGGTCTTCAAGGCATCCCGACTCATCTTCGATAGAAAGTGTTTTCTTCACAGGTGAATTCGAGTTAATTTCCACCGTCCACTGGGGTGAGAGGAGCTTTGGGGTAAGGAAGACAAAAAGGGAATTACTGCGTTTGAAATTAGAGAAGGACTGGGTGAGGAGGGGACTTTAAAGAAACTCAAAAAGACCAAGGTTCTCATTAAGAATACTAGCCCAGAGTTCCCTTTTCCTTGCCTTTGTGTAGTTAGTTTCATGATTAACTTAATTCTCTTCTAAGTTCTCAGTTTCCTTATCTATAAAATAAGAGTTGGCCTAAACAATCACTAAATTCACTTCTGACCTAGAGTTAGAATCACAGAATTCAAAACTAGAACTAGGGAGGAAAGACCGGGTAACTGATGAGTATAATTTGAAAAAATTCTGACCTGAGAGTCAGGTACCTTGGGCTCTGTTCACTAACTCACTACATTACCTTAGACTCTTTCTTTCTGGGATTCAATTCCCCACTCTGTAAAATATAAATATCTGGCATTTACATAAATCTGTGATTTCATTGGTATAGGGACCTCCCAGATGCGGAAACTCCCTCTACCAATTCAGGCCAGCACCTCCCCTGTAATTTATAGTCTGAGACAGGTGCCTAGAGCCCTGAGAGGTTAAGTAACGTGCCCAAGATTACACAGCCAGTATATGTCCAAAGCTGGATTTGAATCCAAGTATTCCTAGCTTCAGAGGCTAGCTGTCTATCCACTAGGCCATGATGTTTCTTAATAAGGGTTTAAAGTTTATTTTTTAAAAAACTTTACATTTCTCATTTGATCCTCAATAATTCCATGAGATAAATACATAAGAGATTATGATTTCCATTTTTACAGATGAGAAAACTGACTTCCGGTCAGTCACTACACCACGATGACCTTCTAGAATTTTGTCTTGAATGGGGGGGGGGAGGTTAATTCTTTCTGGGGCTGAAATACTGGAGGAAGGAATGGGGTGCAGGCGCTTACAATCCCGGAGTCTCCCAGGATCTCTGATTGAAAGAAAAAAACAAAAACAAACAAACAAAAAACTTGCTTTCTGTGCCCTGGAGAGGGGAAGGAGGGAGGGGAGGAAATACTGTTATGTAAGCGGGCGGGGACAGCTGAAAAACACTGGAGGGGAATACTGAAAGTCTAGAAGATGTCCTGTGTGTTGTATTTAAATCTGAGAGTTCCCTATAAGCAGAAAGAAAAGTTTACAAAAAGATTTGCGGCCCCGTAGACAGACTAGAATCTGCGTGAGCGACGCTGACTTGCCATACGTCGGTCCCTAGCGCCCCTGCTGGGTACTGACAGCTCTGCAACGTAAGCGGGAGGCAGGGCAAGGGGCCTGGCCAGTTGGGGATCAGGCTTCTTGGACTGTGAAGGTTGGAGGGACACCATTGCAAAAGAGGATTCTTCTCTTAGGGTGCGAGTGGAGAGTATCTGGGACTGCCAGATAGTAGATCAGATCTGGGCTTTCTCTGAACAAGGATGGATTTTCACAGGGTTCGGTGGGAGAGGGACAGGAGGTTCTAGTCTCACGGACTAGAGCACCTATAGATGCTCAAGACTTGTCCCCTATGTCCTACTGAGCCCGCTTCCCAGCTTCCATCGCTGAGGCCTCTCACCTCAAGGTGTGTAACAGAGACTGATCAAGTCAAATTCTGCAAGAGCCAAAGGTGGGGGTGGGGCTGCAAGAAGGTAATTACATAACTAAGTTACCAAAAAGACAAAACAAAACTGATAGAGAAGGAGCAGCTAATATTTTAGGATGAAAAGGAGGAGAATGTGATGTGTCTTAAGCCATGGGAAGAGAGAATAACCAGCAGGAAGGGATAGTCAGCAGTGCTGTGGGCAGAAGAAAATTCAATGAGTATTAGAACTGACCAAAGACAAAGGGATATAGTGATTTGAGTGTCACTGGCAATTTCTGATGGAGCATTTTTCGGTGGAATAGCTGAGGTGTCAGATGACAAGGCAATGAGAGAGTGAGCAAAAATTGAGGCATCCCCAAATATGCAACTTTTTTGTTTTGGTACAACAAGCAAAAAAATAGCTTAAAAAAAAAGAATCAGGACAGACCAGAGTATGTTGGTAAACAGAGGAGCCAGTGACAAGGGAAAGGTTGAAGATGAATGAGAGGTAAAGGATGATTATTCTTGGAGGAGGCAGAAGGGAAGAGGTTAAGGACACAAGAAGATAGATTAGCCTTAATGAGAGGTTAAGGATACCTGCTCTGTGACCAAAGGGAAAGGGAAAAGAGTGGGCAATGTGGCTGAGCAGCTTTCTAGAACAGAAAAAGGAAATTGAGGGAACTTCCATTGAATAGGCTCTTTCTTCCTAATGAAGTAAGCTAGTTCAATCTGCTATAAAACAGGGGTGACATACCTTTAGGAAGAAGAGGAAAATGTCTGGGAAAGTTATCATCTCAGTATATCTGAGATGCAGAGAAGAGTAGAAGGGACGTCAAACAGTAGTGCAAGCTCATATCAGGTTTTACGTAAACTTGAAATGGCTCAAACCATGTCCATTTTTCATTTTCTTCGATGATATTCAGCAGCCCAAGAGCAGGAGCAAAGAAACCAAATGGGAGTATCTAGGAATGGGATTATAAATTTGGGATCAGCAGAAAGCCAAGGAGCAAGTGAGTCAACTATTGAAAAATTAAAGTGGTAGAGCACAGTTTTAAGCCTGTGAATGTGTACAAACCAAAGCAGCTCAGAGAAGACTGAATAGAAGAGTAGAAATGGGACAGAGACAAGTAGGTTAAATGTGAGCCAAAGTCAAAGGTAGAAGAATAGGAGGTTGGGGTCAGACAGTAGAATTTCAAAGTTAGGATTTCAGAGATTGTTACATTCTAAGAGGCAGCAAGGTCTAAGGTATGGCTGTGCCAATAAAGCGGGGGCAGGGGGAAGGAATCGAAGAAAATGAGGAATTGAGAGGTTAGGTTGTTAAAGGAATTGTCAAAATGAAAATCAGTCTGTGATGACAGTGACAGTGAATGGAATGGAAATGAAAACTGTAAGCAAAATGCTAAATTAGGAAAATTGGGAGGGTGAATTGAACTTCTGTAGATGACAGCAATAAAAATGGGAAGAGGGTAGTATAGAGTAAATGGATTTCAAAAGAGGAAAGTTAAGGGGGTGGGTGGTATTGCAGGTAGAGAAATGGTTTAGAACAAGCAGTGTACAGCAAGAAGTACTATCTAACCCTATCCCTGGTCCTATGAGCTATCATGGTGGAAAGAATATATTCCAAATGAGAGGGCGTCCAGGAATGTGATATCCTCAAAGGATAGTCGTGTTTCAGTTAAAGGAAGAAGGTTGAAGAGGTGTTGGTGAAAAATCATTAATGTAGGGAAATTTCTCAAGAACAGAGTGGAGATTCCAAAATGCATCTTGGGGATGGGTTAAGAAAGGAGTTCCTAAGTTGAGGTATATGTGCCTCTGTGGTACGTGAGTTTGTGTGTGATATGTATGTACGTATGTATATATGGATGGATATGGATATATAGATGTATATGTATATGTGTGTGTATATATATACATGTAGTTGTTATTATTGTTCAGTTGCATTTTTTTCAGTTGTATCTGACTCTTCGTGACTCTGTTTTGGGGTTTTCTTGGCAAATATACTAGATTGGTTTACTATTTCCTTCTCCAGCTCATTTAACAGATAAGGAACTGAGACAAACAGGGTTACATGACTTGCCCATGGAGCTAGTAAGTATCTGAGGAAGGATCTGAACTCATGAAGATGAGTCTTCCTAATTGCAAACCCAGTGCACCACCTAGCTGCCTGTGTGTATATGTTAGTGTGTGTGTGTGTGTGTGTGTGTGTGTGTGTGTGTGTGTGTATGTATTAGGTATGTATGTATTATGAGAACTTTGTCAATGGGGTGCAGGGATTGTTTGGTAAGTAACCATATTATCCTATGGAAATATTTCAAAATTAGTAGGGTGAATTAAAAAGTTATATGCCAAATAAAGTTTTCCTTAATGTAAAATTAATCCATTTTAGTTTATTTCTTATATGAATATTCATGGTAAATGCTAAAATTTATTTTCTTTCATATTAAAATAGAGAATATAGAAAGTTTATTGAAAAACAAGGGGTGAAGAGACCAAAAAAGACTGGGAAGCCTTGGGTTATGAGATAAGTAAACTAGGATGAAGTGAGAATGAAGATTAGTGGGACTGATTAGAATAGAGATGTGGGGTTAAGAGGACACAATATGAGCATGCAGCTTGCATCATAAAATGATGAGACTGAATGACTGGAATCAAGACCCCAACATATGAGAAGTAATCTAGTATGTCATGCTTTATCCAGTAGAGAATTTGTACCAACATTAGAAATAAAATAAGAAGTTCTATTGCTTTGTAAGTTATCTTCATGAAATCTTGCCCTCAAGTACACTTTTTGCTCCCACTGATAATACTATGGAGCTTCTAGGCTCCTGGCAGGAGATTAAGGAGGGACTAATTCAAGGCCTGCACTTGGCTTCCTTAAAAATAGGGTGCTTTGGGCTAACCTCATTTTTTTTTGACAAGTGTCACTAGGTTGTCAGTTCAGGGGAATGCCTTAGATATAGTATGCCTGGATTTTAGCAAAATAGTATCATAGTATTTAATCTTATCTTTGGGGAAAGTTGGGTAGATGTGGACTGGATTATAACAGGCAGATTCAGAATAGAAGACAACCAGGTGGCACCATGGACAGAGCACCAGATCTGGAGTCAGAAAGATCTAAATTCAAATATGACCTCGGACACTTAGTAGTTGTGTGACCCTGGGCAAGTCACTTAACCTCTGTTGGCCTCTACTGGAGAAGGAAATGGCAAGCCCCTCCAGTATCTTTGCCAAGAAAACGCCATAGACAACATGGTCCAAGGGGTCACAAAGTGGTGCGTAACTGAACAACAACAAAAATTCAGAACTGATTAAACGAGTGAGGCAAAAAGTGATTATTTTTGGATTGATGCCAACTTAGAGAGGGAAAGAGGAAGTTTCTAGTAGAGTGCCATGGTCGGCCCTTTTCTGTTCAACATTTGTATCCAATAACTTGGATAAAGGCACACATTGTATGCTTATCAGATTTTCCGATGAGAGCAAGCTAAGAAGTCTACATCATAGACTTAAGACCCCGAAAGATCTCAACAGATTAAAATTATGAACCAAGTCTTACAAAATGAAGTTTAATAAAGATGGTTCTAAGTCTTAATTACACAAGTTCAAAATGAAGGAAACACAACAAGCAACAACTCACAGTTGTGTAGTGCTTTAAGGTTTACAAAATGCCTGCCTCACAACAACCCACAATAGGTTGACTAGACAATGCTTCATGTGATCCCAAGGGCCTGAGGGTACTACAAACTCAATACCAACCAACAGTATAACATGGCAGCCAAAAAAGCTAATGTAATCTTGGGTTGCTTTGATAGAGTAGAGTCCACAATGAAAGACATTAGAAACCACATTTGAAATGCTGGGCTCACACCTGATCTCCACACTTTATATTTTCATAGAAGGACAACTAGGAAGGGACTTGAAGCTGTGTTACACAAGAATCAGTGGAAGGAATTGGGGTTTTCTCAGCCTGCAGAAGAGAAAACTTAGATTAGACATGCCAGCTGAGCTTACAGAAGTTCTTGCTGGGCTGTCATGTAAAAGAAAGATTAGACTTGTTTTGCTTGGCACCAGAGAAGTTGGAGAGAAATATATTCCACTGGTGTCGTCTGGAGTAGAATGACTTGATCCTGAAAGTTCCAGAGATTTTCAAGTAACTACTGATGGTCATTTGTTAGGGATCTTGTAAAGAAAGATTCTTTCACAGGGAAAAAGGTTGGACTAGATGACCTCTGAGGTAACTTTTAGCTCAGCAATGCTATGTTTCCTTCACTCTCACTTTAAAAATGGGATCTGTTCTTATTTCAGGACTAAAGGGCATTGCAAATATTCCTATTATCATGAATCACAGAACCACAGAATGGGAGCATTGGAAGAGACCTGAGACTTCTGCCTCATGAATGAAAGGGCAGGATGATGATTAGAGTTAATCTTGCTCCCTAGCCCCCACTACTTACATGGGAATCAGAATGGTCAGGGGATTTGGGTCTGTAGGTAATACCTATATCACACTTCTAAGAAGTGTGAGTGTCCCCTCAAGGCTTTCAAATTAATATGATTCCTGTTTTGTCACTAGGGAAAGCCAGACAGGATATACTGCTGTTAACCAGTTCACCCAACTGATAACTTCCAGTGTGGTTTGGAGCACTACAGCATCCCTCAATGATATCATCACTTCAGGAAGTAGTGTTTCTCCCTCTCCCATCACCATGCCCAGTGTACACACAGCCTTGGTAGACCATAGGACAAAACAATGTTCAGTAGCTCTTACTTTCCTACAGAAGCACATCATTAGGGGACTGATCCAAAGCCCCTTCGAGATAATTGTGGCTGCTCTGTTAGTGGGTAGAGTACTCTGAGAACATCAGCAATGTTGGGAATTTTCATGTGGTCTGGACTTTGAATATAATTCAGATACCTCAGTCCGTCACTCAGGGCTCTCCATAATTTAACTTCAGCTTATCTTTCCAACTTTTTCTCATACTATCCGCATGTACATGTTCTAATATTCATCCAAACTGTTTCTTGCAGTGCCAACAGAATGAATGGTTACTGAAATAAATGCTTAAGGCAGGGAGTCTGAAGCTGTCTTATTTATTGGAAAACATTGGTTAGGGGAGTCCAATAGACCCAACAGAACAACCAAGTCTAGTCCTACTCCAGGACCTGGACCAGCTTGATGTCATAGGTTCTTGTTTCTCCCTGCCAGCAGATGAAGAAACTGAGTTAAAAAGAAGTTAAGTGACTTGCCCAGGGTCACACAGCTAGTAGGTGTCTGAGGCCACATTTGAACTCAGGTCTTCCTGACTCCAGCCAAGTCCAGCATTCTATCCACTCCACCACCTCACTGCCCTCTGCTCTTACCAAGCTGCCTGGGATGCTTTCCTCTTCCTATCATCTCTTGTTATTGACATCCTACATATACTTCAAGGCTCAGATCAAATGATACTACCTCTTTGGACCCTTTCATGACCACCAATCAAATATTATCTTTTTTTTCTATGAACTCCCATAGTACTTTGCTGGTACTTCTCTTATACAGTTATGTTTTATTTTATATTATAGGGGTATTTTATCTCTGTTACTATATTATAGACTCTATGAGGGCAAAGACTATGTTTTACTCATTTTTGTATCTTCTAGTAACCAAAATAGTGCTTTGCTGTGAAACAGGATATTACAGTGGGGAGAAAAATCAAACATCCTTGGAGTCAGAAGACTGGCTCAGAGTCCTGACTCTGGAGCCAACTAGCTGTCACTTTTGGTAAGTCATTTCACCTCACTTTCTTTCTATGAAAAGGGGGGATAGTAATACTTGTCCAGCCTCCCACACTGAGCTATTTTCAAGAACAAATGAAATAGTGACTGAAAAAGTGTAAATTGTAAAGTCCTATACATGTGTAAAGGATTCTTCTGTTGGCCACTCAATAAATGTTTATTGAGTGAATGAATATACGTGGCTAGCACTGCCTACCCATTGTCTAGAATTCTCAGCTTCTGACTCATTTTAGCACTGGAGAGTCAGCATAACAGAAAGGATGGAATGCTAGCCTTAGAGTCAGGAAGACATAGGTTTACTGCAATTAGGGGAAAAGAGAAAAAAAGAATGAAGGGAGATGAGGTTAAGGTGAAGGACAGATGTTTTTGTCTTTTCCTTTTTTCTGATTAGGGCTTCTCTCAGGTGGATTCTTACTTCTCAGAGAAAATATTTTCACTGGAAATGAAAGCATCTACAGAAACCTTTGGCATGGGTAATGGGCTTGGCCAGAAGACAACTCAGAGCTCTGGAGTGTTACTTTCAGTTTTCTTTCCTGCTTTCAAAAATCACCACCTGAAGCCATGTCTTCTCCATATCCCAAAACAGCTGGAGAAACAGAATGAATGGTTACTGAAATAAATGCTTAAGGCAGGGAGTCTGAAGCTGTCTTATTTATTGGAAAACATTGGTTAGGGGAGTCCAATAGACCCAACAGAACAACCAAGTCTAGTCCTACTCCAGGACCTGGACCAGCTTGATGAGAATTCTTATAGTTCTACAGAACATAAATAAAGCAGAAATCAGTGATAGAGATCCATAACTAATCTAGTAGAAGAATTATATCCTTTCCTCGTCAGAACATTTCCAATGAACAATCCTCAAATCTTTTGGGTCTGATCATAAAATCAATTCTGATGCACATAACATTAATGTCATCTGGGCCACAACTCTCTGTCTTATCCCTGTCACAGACAAATCCATTCACACAAATTCACCATTCTCAGTCACTATCTAAGTTTCAGATCAATAATCCCTCCCCACTTCTCCAGTCCATTTAGGGACTCAGACCATATCATTCAGATACAGAATTTGTTATAGATCTTTCTTCATTGCTCCCCAAACGTTGTTTGGGAGTGCAGCAGAACCCACAACCACAATCTCATGACTCAAGGTACCAGCAGAATATAACCATTGTCTACTTAATTACCTACCTAACCATTCTCTGCAGTACCACAAATTTGGGGCAAACTCAATCCTCCAGGGTACCCTACCTGCACATGTTCGTAAACCACTGGTACTGACTCCATCATGCTATGGCAATTTGTGATTTACAAGATTACTCTCTACATCACTTCCATCACATTTTTCACAATAGTAACACTGTCCATACTCTGACCACAACACTATCCACATTCATTCCATTTTTCTCACACTTCATTCACAACACATCACTCCACTGATAGGCTCTTTCTAGTACCACCGTGCCAAACAATGATCACTAGTGTCAAAGGAAGTGCCTCATACAGAGCATTGTTACTGTTCAGTCATTTTTCACCCACGTCCAGCTCTTTGTGACCCCATTTGGGGTTTTCTTGGCAAAGATACTGGCATGGTTTGCCATTTCCTTCTCCAGGTCATTTTACAAATGAGTAAACTGAAACAAACAGGATTAAGTGATTTGTCCAGAGTTACACAGCTAGAAAGTATCCAAGGCTGGATTTGAACTCAGGAAGATGAGTCTTCCTGACTCCAGGCCGGGCATTCGATTGTGCCACCTAGTTGCCCTTCATACAGAGTAGACACAAAAGGATTTGGATTAGAAAGAAATGTGTTTGCACTCTCTTATAAAAAAGTAATTAAAAATTATAGGCAGCTTTTAACCCCCTTCTCCTCCCATGTGTACTTTTTGCCTTTCATATCAGATATCCTCAGAGTCTAATGGTCTACAATAATAGAATGATGTTTTTTGTCAAATGGTTTACTGAAATTTAGGGGAACTCCTGACCCACCAGCCTAGGAATACTGCTTAAAAAAGGAAATAGTTATTGGTAAAGTATTCTTTATTGTTGTTGGTGGTAGTGTTTGTTTTGTTTTGGGTGTTTCAAACTGAATTTCCCTATAACGCCCAGGTTGGAAGTACACTGGCCTGATCCCATTATTCATAGGTGCCTACTCCCATTTCTGACCTGGGCCAGTTCACCTCTCCTTAGCCAACCTGGCACCAAGGGCTCACCATATTGATATGGGCACCACATCAGTTTGGCCTCTACTGAACTTCAGAACTCCAAAACTCAAGCTGATCAGCCTCTGCTTCCCTAGTAGAAGAGATTATAGGCACAAGCCACAATGCTCAGTTTATTATCTGTTTTTGATAAATCTCTGCTGGCTCTAAGTGATAGCTTCTTTCTTTTCTAAAAATCACAAACCACCTTTCTAAGAATACCTTCTAGAGCCTTGACAGGGATTGAAGTCAACCTCAATAGGACCTAGCTTCTGGCAGAACACCAGTGGTAGATATGTCTGTCTCTTCTCTGGGCTTTCCCTCTTAATTGACTCCTTCAAGCTGTATTCTCAATAAATAAACAGATTAGCAAAACTGGTGACTAACATTATTTATAATAGTAAATATTTAAAACAACAAAAAAAAGTAAACACAGTTTTACTACCCAGAGGGAACGACTTCAGGGTACACACAGCTTGCAAAAATCCTTGGTGGAGACTGAACAAAATTACAAGGTAATTGGGAAATGTTTAACAAAATATACAAAAAATACAGTAGAACATAGAAAATGTTCATTTGTGGCTTTCTAAGTCAATATTCAGCCCACAGGGATCGTTTCTATTTGAGTTTGATACCACTGCCCTAAAGGAAATCGAGGTTAGAAAAGAGATACAGGATCATCACCTTGGGATATTAATGGGAGGAGAAGATTATTGGGAGGGAGGGGGACTTGGATTTCAGCCAGAACATCTTTCCTCATGCTGATAGGTCTGAGCAGTCTTACTCCCACCTAGAATAACTTTTAAAAGCCACCAAGAACTGCTATCTTACATAAGCAAAGCAAATCTTTTGACCTTTTCAAAAAAAAAAAACCAACCTCTCATTTTACACCTCTCATCTAACACCATTCTACCAAGAAGTAGGAAGCATGTTTCACCATTACTTTTTCTGATGTCATGATTTGATTGGTTATCAATTTGATCCTAGTTCTGAAGCCTTTCATTGTTGTTTTCCTTTACTCTGTTTTAGTCATCATGTAAATTGTTCACTCAGTTCTGCTTATCTTATTGTGTCCTTTCCTACAAGCCTTTCCAAGTCTCTGAATTCTTCATACACATCATTTTTATGGCTCAATAGTACTTTTTTGCATTCCTGTACCACAGCTAATCAGCCATTCCCCAATAAATGACCACATATTTCCAGTTCCTTGAAACTACAAAAAGGTACCTCTGTAATTATTTTTGCATATGTGGGGCCTTTCCTTCTGTCTTTGACATCTCTGGGATACATGCTAAGTAGAAATATCCTTGCAATAAATGGTGTATACATATATATATATATATATATATATATATATATATATATATATATATATACACACACACATATATATACATATATATGTATATATATATATATATATATATATATATATATATATATATATATATACATAATTTAATGACATTTTTGGTATAACTCCAAATTATTTTCCAGAATAATTGGACAAATTCACAGCTCCACCAATAGTGCATTTGTATGCCCATTTTCCCACAGCCCCTCCAGCATGTAACATTTTCACCTTTCGTCATCTTTCTGCACTAGTCATTTTACCAGGTATTGGTGACTACTAATGAGGGCTGAACTCACTACAATCTATAAATGGGTGTCTGAAATTGTGTTCTGACATCCTACTTGCATCTAGCAGTAGATGGAGCAACCAAAGAAGAAATAGTCCTTCCATAGTAGTTAAGGTACTGAGCAAATCTCACACATAGACATAAAAGCTTATTAATAACCTGACAAAAGGGGAGGGAAGTTTGAATTCTGATAAATGGCCCCCAATTTAATGTTTTATGCTTAATTTCACTAAGTCTGGGACTAGGTGTTTAATCCACAGAAAAGAAGTCCAGCCTGATTATTCTTTGCAGCCAAGTTTAAGACATGGGAAGCTAATTAACTAAAAAAAAAATCTAGTCTAAATCTGAAAGTACAGGAGAAATCTTGGTTCTGTCTTGCTCTGAAAAGACATCATTTCGAAATTAACCTGTATCTGATCAGTTCAGGAAGTATACAATACTTCTAAATGGCAAAACCCAAGCCCCTTCTAAGTATCTTACCATAGTCCTGGCTATTACCTCCATTCTTATTCACTAAGGAATGCAGCAAGGATAGGGTTATTCATCAATGAAGTGAGGTGTATGGAGCATAGAGAGGTAAGCTGCAGTCCCCATCCTAGGAAAAGGAGAGCCATACTAATAACACTCAAAACATGCATGAGGCCAAGCTGGAGCTGAACTGCCCTCCATCCTCCTCTCTGTGAGCATGCAGAGAATAAAAAGTATAGCTCCTGCTAGTAACATAATTACTTTAATTAAAATTTAGGGGGTCAGGAAAGCCAATTCTAAATGTCACATTTCCAGTGACGTGTGATAAGCTTGGGTGAATTTTTAAAAGAATAGCACTATCAATAACCACCATATTTAACTAACGGTATGTATGAAGAGATCTATTCAGCAAAAGGTCCTATAGCAATTAAATGACAGCTACAGAATTTATTCTTTGCTCTCCTTGTCTTTGCCCTGATTTCATAGCCATGTGACCACCATAGACTTACAATAGCCTCTGATTGTGCTGCTCACTCCCCACTCCTTGTCTCTTCCCCTTACTATAGCCTCTCCAAATCCTACCCATTCTTCAAGACCTCTTTTAACCCCCACCTCCTCCAGGAAGTCTTCTCTGACAGCTGCAGTCACCACTGATTTCTTCCCTTCATGACCACTGAGAATAATTAATTTTTTCCATTAGACATTTGGACACTTGACTATATATAAATTCAAATATAAGCTAGCACTTTATTATGTTCAGTCTTGCACAGCTTTCTAATTGTTCATGTGCATAAATGTCTTCCCCACCACCACCTCCCAAAAAGTTTGCAAGTTTCTTGCAGGGCATGGAAGATGTCATATAAATTCTATAACATTAAGAACTAAAAAGGTCCTTAGGAACTAGATTGATTAGAATGCAAAAGGAAGTCCAACCCATTGGATAGAAGTTTTTAGAGATGGTGAATCTGAGGTCTGTAGAAGTAAAGTGTTTTGTCCAGGGTCACACAGCAACTTAGTGATGCAGCCAAAACTAGAATTTAGGTATTTAGGAAATCAGACCTGATCCTTATTTCTCATCACCATGAGGGGACTTCATGATTACATGGAAAATCGTTGAAATCTAGATCTAAAAGTGACCTTCCAAATAAGATAGGGCACATCTCCATTTTAAACAGAAAATGTGACACAGAGAAGGGAAATGACTTACCCAAAGCCACATAGTGAGAAAGCTAGAACTCAGAACCAAGTCTTCTGAATCCCAGTCCAGGAGTCTCTGGGGGATGTTCACTATCACTTGTGTTCTGTGATATATGTACATCTCAGTGTTAT